TTAATACAAGAAAGGATTTTGCTCACTTTAGAAACCGCAGCTTGGCATTGCATGACATTATTAAGCTTGTGATCTACCAGAACTCCCAGATCCTTCTCCACCATTGATTCCCCCAGTTGTACACCCCCCCAGTATGTATGATGCATGCATATTCTTAGCCCCCAAGTGCATAACTTTACATTTATCAACATTAAACCTCATTTGCCACATAGTTGCCCAATTAAACAGTGCATTGAGGTCAGATTGTAAATTGGAGACATCCTGTAAGGACGTTATTCCACTGCACAGCTTGGTGTCATCTGCAAAGACTGAAATTATATTTTTAATCCCAGACCCTATATGGTTTACAAATATATTAAAAAGTAAGGGTCCCAACACTGAACCTTGGGGTACACCACTAACAACCCTAGACCATTCAGAGTATGCATCATTAACCACTACTCTCTGAATATGATCTTTTAGGCAGTTTTCTAACCATTTACATACAGATTTTTCCAAGCCTGTAGACTTTACCTTACACATTAGCCGTGTGTGGGGAACTTTGTCAAACACTTTTGCAAAATCCAAGTGAACCACATCCACCGCCACCCTCTGTCCAAGGTTTTGCTCACCTCCTCATAAAAAGAAATCAGATTTGTTTGACAACTTCTTTCTTTCATGAATCCATGCTGTCTGTTGCTTAAAATATTTTTTCTCGCAAGAACTCATCTATGTGGTCTTTTATTAAACTCTACAGTATCTTCCCAACTATGGAAGGTAAATAACTAGGTCTGTAGTTACTTGGTCAAAGACTTTAACCCTTTTTAAATATAATCACCACATTGGCCTTATGCCAATCCATGGTACTATGGCACTCATTAAAGAGTTTTCAAATATTAGAAACAATGGCTTTGAAATGACAGAGATCAATTCTTTTAGGATCATATAACTCATCTATGTGGTCTTTTAATAAACTCTCCAGTATCTTCCCAAATATAGAAGTTAAACTAACAGGTCTATAATTACTTGCTAAAGAGTTTGACTCCTTTTTAAATATTAGCACCACATTGGCCTTACGCTAATCCAGTGGTACTATGCCAGTCATTAGAGTCCCTAAAAATTAGAAACAATGGCTTTGAAATGACAGAGCTCAATTCTTGAAGGACCCGTGGGTGTATGAGATCTGGTCCAGGTACTTTATTCACCTTTATTCTATCTAAATAATTCTGGATTATATCAATTGTGAGCCAATGTGGATCATCTGGAGATGTGTCAATACCATGCCCATTATGGACAAGAGCTCCCCCATGCTCCTTTGTATGCACAGAGCTGAAGAAGGTATTTCATAAATTTGCCTTCTCTTTGTCCCCAGTCACCCACTCCAGATTATTTTGTAAAGGGCCTACATGCTCGGACCGAACCTTTTTACTATTAATATATTTGAATAATTTTTGTGCATTTGTCCTGCTATCTTTTGCAATCTGTCATTCATTTTCAATTTTTGCGCCTTTATTTCCTTTTTGCATATTCTGTTATATTCTTTGTAATGTTTAAATGATGATAGCGTTCCTTCAATTTTATTTTTAATAAAATCTCTTTTTTTTATTATTTATAGCTTTTTTAACTTTGGCCGTAAGCCACGTAGGTTTGATTTTTAGTCTTTTAAACTTGTTGCCCATGGGAATATATTTTGCAGTGTGTTCACATGCAGTCTTTTTGAAGAACTTCCATTTCTGTGTTGTGTTCATTGACGCCAATATTCCCACCCGCAGTCTAAGAATTGGAGAGCAGCTCTCAGCCTTGGAAAATTAGCTCTCTAAAAATTGAGCATTTTCATTTTTCCCGTATGTGCTTGTTGTTTACAGCTAACAATAAATGAAATCATGTTATGGTCACTGCTACCCAGATGTTCTTTTATATGGACATTTGTAATAAGCTCTGCATGGTTTAAGATTACCAAGTGCAGCAGAGCATCATTCCTAGTTGGGGCCTCTATGAACTGCACCATAAAATTGTCCTGTAGTAAGTTTATACATTTTTGCCCTTTAACTGTTCCTGCAGTACCATTACTCCAGTCAATTTCCGAGTAGTTAAAATCCCCCATTATTATCACTGTCCCAGCCCTTGCAGCCCTTTCGATCTGTGCAAGGAGCTGAGTCTCCACCTCCTCATTAAAACTGGGAGGCCTATAACAAACTCCAATGATTACCTTTGTAGTACGCACCCCCATGTAATGCTTCAGCCTCATCACACTCTCCATCAACTAAATCCTCTTTCACACTCGCTCTGAGATCTTTCTCACATAGAGACAGACACCACCAGCTCTCCTATTTACCCTGTCTCTCCAAAAGAGAACATAGCCAGAAATATTAATGGCCCAATCATGTGAAGAATGAAGCCAAGATTCAGAAATACCAATTAAATCATAGTTCTGTTCATGCAACAGAACTTCTGGCATTGGCAGACTTCTGGCATTGGTGAACAAACACTTTATTTCATTGACACCTTGTGCACATGTATTTTGCATATTATTTATTTTCATACAAATGGTAATTCCACTGGTTGCTTGTAACATGGGAACCTTCTTATCATCTGTCTCGTTCCAGCATCCTGGTTTTGGTTGTGATACATTCTCCCTGTCTGTCTGTCCACCTGCAAGGTGATTGATGTGGCCAGTCTCTGGGTGGAGACCAAACCTGATTTAAGCCAACCAAGTCTGCAGTCTCATGCTTGAGATATTGCATTAGTAAGACGTGATCCGAGCTCCCTGTTGTTTGCCTTGCCTGCTAGTTTGAATTCCTTCGCTGATGACCTCAAATTGGATATCAACTATCGATCGGATCGGATTTCGATCTAAACTCTGCCTGCCTGTTGACTATGGATTTGACCCTGACTTTTCTGTGCCTTGCCTGCCTTGTATCTGGACTGTCATTGAATCACTCTGCCTGTCTACCAACCGCAAGTACCTGTTTGCTGTGCTCAGTTTGAGCCATGCACTATAGCATTGTGTATAAGCCCTCAGGGCAACCGAGTATCGGTAGGCCTTATTGCCTTATGGGAAAGTTAGCTGCTATAGGTGAAGAACACAGAAGCCAGCTATAGTGTCTGACCACCTGTGTTAGGGGTAGGCATGACAAGAAGGAGTTCAGTCATTTTCAGACATAAGTTCCAACCTATCTGAGCTATCCCGCCAGTAAGCTGTTAAAACCGACAGCCAATCATAGGTGCTGGAGACATTGAGACATGAAAGACTTTGCACTTACTATTCTAATCACTCTCTGATTTGTAATATTTACATATATTAACAATTGTTTTAGACACTGTAAAATATACTTATCAGTATTTCAGTTCCATTTACAGGACATGGTTACCCCTTCCCACAGTCCACCTCAGGCCAATCGAGTGACTGGGAGGTCCCACCCAGATCCTCCCACTTACTGGAGTGGTCCACCCAACCGCTGCCTCTAATTATGTTAGGGCTGCTTACTTGTGCCCCCAATCACTGCAACAAACGCCTATATGAATTATTGCACATACACATTTACTCAAGTACGACCTTATGCACTCTTGGCGCTTAGCTCTGATGCATGAGACCCAGGGATTGGTGCAGGCCGAAGGATAGGTGAAGTGTCCAGCCCTGCTGGCAACCTGTAAAACTCTATGAGAGGCTGAAAGCTGCTGCAACTGGACACTAATGTTTAGGTAAGTATGCACCCAAGGACAAATGCCTAGAATGCAAGCAGTATGCATAGGCAGCATCCAGAATTTAGAACTCCATCTAACTTTCTTCTGCAGAGTCAAAAACTAAAAGCCAGCACCAAATGTGTAGCAACAATAGTATGGGCTTAGAGAGTAAAAGTGATTTCCATTCTGTGCCAGATTTGATATAAAGTATCAAACAGATATTTTAGAGGCAGGTGGAATCTGGTGGAATAATGCAACTGCTGGCATCTGACATCTTATCTCAACAAAAGCATAATCAATAGTAACTACATATACCTAAAGGCTAACAAAAAAAGAAACAAACCAAATTAGAAGACGGCATCAATGATAAGCCACACCTTCAAACCTAATAGTTGCAGCAGTAAGCAGGAAAACCTATTTACAGCTGTGAAATTCTCTGTGAGTTTACCATCATTCCCTAGAATATAATTAAAACATACCAGGTACAGTCTTAGCTATGAAAGGCTGAAAATGATTAGTGTGACTCATGCATGGGTTCTAGAATTTGCAGGGCATTGCTGTACAAAGCTACATCTGCATAGTTAATAGAGATTTCACTAAATATGGCAAAAGCAAAAAACTGCTGCAAAAGCAATACCACATAGTGAGATCCAAAGCAGCTAAACATCAGAATAAACAGATAGTGATATCTTAAAAGAGGAATACAATTAACAAAAACGAGAGCAAGAAATGATAACAAAACACAGTTGGAAGGAGCCTTTTTTTCCATCTTATTAAGCTACTAACTTTCAGGGCCCATTTACATTACATGTTGTGTTAATTGGTGTGCATCAACACGTGTTCTTGTGCATTGAGGCATATCATTCATTTTAAATGTGCTGTTAATGTACACTAGTGCACAAAAAAATTCCTGCACTTTTATTTTCAGTAACGCAGTGCACCAGAATGAACATCTATGCATTTTTTTTAAATTAATGGTACTGCAACACAAATATATGTGCAATAATGTATGTTACTGCAACGTGATAGAGTATAAAAATGTTTTTTTTTAAATTTGCTCCCTTTAATAAATTTTTTTGGTTGTTCATGTCTTAGCACTCTATAAAAAAGATTGCTAAAGTTAACATTTAAGTAGTGCTAATCCTTGTATCTGGATTGTTACATGAAAACAAGAGTAACTACAAAGTAATATTAAGGCATTTTGATTGCAGATGAACCCTTCACATGAATACACAATTTGCCGAAAAATAAAACATGCAAACTGTATTTTTACATATTAAGGTAGAAAATACAGTATATTCAATCAAAGGTAGAAAGTATATTTCATTTATACTCACTAGATTTGCTATGATATAATGGTAACCTTTCACATGTTTTCCGATGGTGATAACCTATGAAATAAAAGGAAGAGTTGATGATTAATTTGATTACTATAAGATATCAAATATTTGCTAATATTTAATTACCTTCTTTTTTTCCACTATATTTTAAAATCATTTTGCTTTTTACTTGTAATATGTCATTATCTTCATTATTGGGGGATGGGTATAGGGCTACCATTTACTTTCTGTATTAAGAACTAAACAGAGGGGTCAAGGCTCTTCATGAATGTAGTACTCAGGGCCGGTACTTCCACTAGGCAAACTAGGCAGCCAACTAGGGCGCACTGCCACCTAGGGGCACCTGGGCGCAGCACAGGCTGGCACTCTCACTTCGTCATGAATGATCCTTCAGCTGAGGGAAGGGGCGGAAGAGGGGAAGTAAGAAAGGACAAAGAAAAATGCTGGGTGTCTGTGGCCAGTGTAGCAGCTGAGCTACCGCTCTTTCCAGTGTTCCTCTCAGACTCACTGCCTTGTTGCAAGCTGGCTGGAGGCTGCTGATCACTATGGAGTTCCAGCCCTCTGCTTCCCATTCATCAGCAGAGGCAGAGCTGCACCTGCGGAGGAAGGTAATGTCTGAGTCTGATCTCTTATGTCTTTGTCAGTGTGACCCGGCTGGCCATCCATCACATGTGCAATGTGTCAGTGAGTGATGACATCATCATGATCTCACAGCCTGCTCTTCTAGTGCCTGCTGATCTGTGTCAGTGTTGGTGGTGGTGTGCTGTGTTGTGTCAGATCTATCAGTGTGTGGGATCGCTCAGTTCAGGTGTTCTCTGTGTGTGTGTGTGTGTGTGTGTGTGTGTGTGGGCTGGGCTGTCTGCTGTCACAGTGTTTTATCTCCCCCCATTGCCTGGGGAATCCCAGCCTGGGATCTGTCAGAGTTATCTTATGGCACTTATTAGTGCACATTAAAAGAAATTTACCAGTTTCATGTTTTGTTGATTTAATATTTTCTATTGTTTTAAAAAAAATTTGGGGAGTGAGGGGACACAGGTTTGGTCTTGCCTAGGGTGCAAAATAGTCTACCACCAGCCCTGGTAGTACTGATGAGCAAGTAACTAAATAAAAAAGTGATATATGCTGCCTTCAGACAAGGCTGTGCACACTACAGAAAAAGAGTAAACTTGTCCCATTTGCCTGTTTCAGGCGACATCTAATGGATCTGTCCAGCATTTCTGGCAGATTTACCATTGGACACTGTAGATCTGTACATATAGGAGGCAAAGGTAAATATAATGTATTTTTCTTGAAAGGATATCAATTACACATTTTTCCCATAACATGTATAAATACGATTATTTCATAAAACCTCATTTATAATTTGTTACAATATTCTTAGCCAGGGTAGGACCAGTAAAACAAAAATATGCTATGCAAGTAAGATGATGTTAGCAGAGTGATAGTGCTTTGAGTGCTAAATGTATACCTGCGATCTCCAGTTATAGAAATCATGCCCTAGTGTTAGTAGTGGTCACTGGTGGATTTTTAATTTTAATAGAATATGATAGGTTTTCAGTGGGAAGAAAGGGGTATGTAGAGCTGAAAGGGAAGATCACATGGAAATACCAGGATATTGTGTGGCTCAACATCAGAACTAATGTTTTGTATCATTTTGTGTATCAAGCATCGAGCAGCAGTATTTGATGAGTTTGGTGTTGGTGAACTCAAGTGGCCTGGACACAGCCCTGACCTTTACCCTCCTTAACTACTCTGGGATGCATTTAAAAGCTAGCTGCAAGCCAGGTCTTCCTGTTCAACATCAGTATTTGACTTCTACAATACTCTTTTGGCTGAATGGACATAAATCCCCAGGTACAGTCCAAAAATCTTGTAGAAAGACTTCCAAGAGGGGTGGAAGCTGTTACAGATGCAAATGGGGACCAGCTCCATAATAATGCCATTTTTTGTGAAATCAGATATCCAAAAAGATAACTTTTTCTCCTCACCTAGTACACAGGTAATCAATGTGCCTTTTCTATGAATATCTATTCCATATGCAACCCAATCAGTATTGATCCTGGGCTGCTATGCCATTTATCCTCGGCATGAAGTCCCAATCTGCTTGTGCAAGCGCTGTGTGGGTCTGCTTTGTCCTATGAACTGGCATTCCATAAATCACTATGTGGGGCTGCTCTTCTCCTTCACTCAAGCAGTGGCTGGTCTCAGGGACTGGCCATATGGGAGGCCTGATTTACACTGGACCCTGTGGATATGAAGGCTTCTGTGAGATAATTACAAACTCAGTTGGGCAGATGGCTGAAGATAAGCAGAACTATAATGCATATGTAGATTCAATGAAGATGCTGTCAGATTATTTGTAAACACTGTAATTCAACGCGTTTCTGAGCAGTTCCTCCGCTCCCTCATTGGGAAGAGTGTTTAAAGTGCCAAGTGGCATCAAGTGTAACAGTGCAGTCACAAGGTGTATAATACACAAGACCACTAGGATATCACATGGAAGTAGTAGTAGCTTTACTAGACACAATAACTGCTAGATCAATTCTACAATAGCACTATAATTAGATAACTCCTATCTATTTATAGTGCCATCAGAAAGGATTTATCTATTTATAGTGCTATTGTACAATTGATCTATTAGGTACAGTGTCTATTAAAGCCTGGGTTAATCCATGTGGTCCTGTGATTGCATTATTACACTTGATGCCACTTTGCGCTTTAAACAATCTTCCTGGTGAGGGAGCGGAGGAACTACTCTGAAACCCACTGAATTGAATGAAATCTTTATATGCAGTATAGCTTATCTGCCCAACTGAGTATATAATTATCTCACAGCAAGAGAAGACAACAGCACACAGAAGCCTGTATATCAGAAAGCTCTAGTGCCCATCATACCTTCCACAGAGCCAGTCCAACTACAGAAGAAACTGGCAACTGCTTCAGAGTGAGCAAAAGGAGCAGCCACAGTGATTTATGCAGCTCATTGGACACAGTGGACCCCACACAGTGTTTGTACATGTGGATCAGGGTTTTAAGCTGAGGAACAATGGCACAGCAGTCCAGGAACAATACCAATCAGTTTGTTAATAAAATAGATCCTCATAAAAAAGGAGCATTGATCACCTGTGTACCATGAACCATGGAAAAGTTTATCTCTGTCTTTTATTAATACAGCTACTCTTGGAGGTGCTTCCCTTTCTCCTTTCCCTATAAATCTACAGGTGAAACTCGTGCAAAAGTTCATTTATTTCAGTAATGCAACTTAAAAGGTGAAACTAATATATGAGATAGACTCATTACATGCAAAGCAAGATAGTTCAAGCTGTGATTTTTCATAATTGTGATGATTATGGCTTACAACTCATGAAAACCCCAAATCCACAATCTCAGAAAATTAGAATATTGTGAAAAGGTGCAATATTCTAGGCTCAAAGTGTCCCACTCTAATCAGCTAATTAAGCCATAACACCTGCAAAGGGTTCCTGAGCCTTTAAATGGTCTCGCAGTCTGGTTCAGTAGGAATCACAATCATGGGAAAGACTGCTGACCTGAGAGTTGTGCAGAAAACCATCATTGACACCCTCCATAAGGAGGGAAAGCCTCAAAAGGTAATTGCAAAAGAAGTTGGATGTTCCCAAAGTGCTGTATCAAAGCACATTAATAGAAAGTTATGTGGAAGGGATAAGTGTGGAAGAAAAAGGTGCACAAGCAGCAGGGATGACCGCAGCCTGGAGAGGATAGTCAGGAAAAGGCCATTCAAAAGTGTTGGGGACTTTCACAAGGAGTGGACTGAGGCTGGAGTCAGTGCATCAAGAGCCACCTCACACAGACGGATCCTGGACATGGGCTTCAAATGTCATATTCCTCTTGTCAAGCCGCTCCTGAACAACAAACGTCAGAAGCGTCTTACCTGGGCTAAAGAAAAACAGACCTGGTCTTTTGCTCAGTGGTCCAAAGTCCTCTTTTCTGATGAGAGCAACTTTTGCATCTCATTTGGAAACCAAGGACCCAGAGTATGTAGGAAGAATGGAGATGCACACACTGCAAGATGCTTGAAGTCCAGTGTGAAGTTTCCACAGTCTGTGTTGATTTGGGGAGCCATGTCATCTGCTGGTGTTGGTCCACTGTGCTTCATTAAATCCAGGGTCAACACAGCCATCTACCAGGAGATTTTGGAGCACTTCATGCTTCCTTCCGCAGACGAGCTTTATGGGGATGCTGACTTCATTTTCCAGCAGGACTTGGCACCTGCCCACACTGCCAAAAGCACCAAAACCTGGTTCAATGACCGTGGGATTACTGTGCTTGATTGGCCAGCAAACTCGCCTGACCTGAACCCCATAGAGAATCTATGGGGCATTGCCAAGAGAAAGATGAGAGACATGAGACCGAACAATGCAGAAGAGCTGAAGGCCACTATTGAAGCATCCTGGTCTTCCATAACACCTCAGCAGTGCCACAGGCTGATAGCTTCCATGCCACGCCGCATTGAGGCAGTAATTGCTGCAAAAGGGGCCCAAACCAAGTACTGAGTACATATGCATGCTTATACTTTTCAGAGGTCCGATATTGTTCTATGTACAATCCTTGTTTTATTGATTGCATGTAATATTCTAATTTTCTGAGATTGTGGATTTGGGGTTTTCATGAGCTGTAAGCCATAATCATCACAATTATGACAAATCATGGCTTGAACTATCTTCTTTTGCAGGTAATGAGTCTATCTCATATATTAGTTTCACCTTTTAAGTTGCATTACTGAAATAAATGAACTTTTGCACAATATTCAAATTTTTCGAGTTTCACCTGTATAATGCTAATTTGAGAGCAACTTTGGATGCAGCAACTGTACAATAAGGAGCTCATTCTGCATTTTAGAATATGTGAACTACGTAGTGGTCATTCAGACTGGAAAAGAAACTGTTATTATCCCAATGTGATTTTTACAGAGCTCCATTACATTAGGCTATATTTGTACGGTGTATGTGGCATGGCTATATAATAGTATTTTAGTGTTAAGCATTGAATGATTTTTTATATGCAGTAAGTATTCAGTGGTATCTAGGCATGAAACAAACCTGATCAACAATATCGTTCACTTTATCCCTCTCACAGTCCAGAATCACTCTCCTTTCCTTTTTTATTTCCAGATCCTGAAAGAGGGAACGGTACGTCTCATCTTTCCTGTCATTGTTAATGTTGCCAACGTTGATTGCTGTCACTTGCCATTTCTTCTCAGCTGCAGAATCCAGCACAGCTTGCAGTGTTGATAAACCTTCAGAGACAAAATATCGGACACAAATACAGTCAAGATCAGCAATAACCCGGGGTGTTTGTATGTTTATCTCTTAAAGCCACTGTGACCATTTCTACTTTCCCACATTATTTCTCTGAAAACAAATGTCTGAATTTGATTATTTCAAAATAGCCATAGCGATGTGAAAGACGCTTTGAACTAAAATTGCAATTTTTTTTAGCATGCTGTCTGTTAAAGCTAAAGCACTATTAAACCCAAAAGCAAACATGTATTGTAATGCAGCTTACCATTTCTTAAATGTGGTGGCAGCGTGTATTTGATTTGTCAAGGTGCTTCTTCATTTTTTTCACAAATTGATCTGGCCAATAAGTCTGTTATTTTTCAACTTTCTTAAAAGTGGAACTGAACCTTCTTCTACTTTACAGCCAAGGGAGCTGCCACCTTAGCCTCTGTTCGCTCTCCTGTTGTCATGGTGCTGCACATGTGACCAGTTATGACATCAGCCATTTGATGGCTTGACAGTTTGGTTGAGAGCTCAAGCACTTGTGACAATTATCATTCATGGAAAGTTGTTGGGAAACCATTAACGTGATGAGTTTAGTTCTGCTTTAGCAGATTAGGCTGTGCATCAAAAGTTAGAAGGTTGAGCAAACCATTTAAATGGGGAACTAATCCCATCAATTTAACTGTTTGTCAAAACAGACAAAGACAAGACAAACCATGAATGATAACTGTTCTCAACCCGACTATCAAGACATCAAATGGCTGGTATCATAACTGACAACATGTGCAACACCATAGCAGATCAAACAAAGGTTAAGATGCCAGCTTCCTTGGCTGTAAAGGATAGGAGGGTTTACTTCTACTTTAACACTGATAAGAGTGATTACAATGGTTTATTGAAGTATGTAAAACCTTGAATCACAAAAGGGAAAAAATGTTTCTGTAACTGTTTGAAAAGTGTTAGAAAGAGTTTAATTTATTAGTCAAGTCCATCTTAATCTAATGCAGCTAACACTACCCTCTTCTCAACTCCTTACAGAATCTGGTAGTTCTTCTTCTGTCATTTTTTAAAATTTGACTACTCGCTAGCAGCCATAGCGGAGGGACTTGTTATTCTTAATGGATCATTACACTTGTAGTTCCTTGATACTTCCTTCAGCTCCATAACTGAAGGATCATCTGAAGGAGCCAGAACATTGTACCAGTGATCCACATATTGCTGTTGCAATGCTTTGCAGGCTTCAATGCAAAAAAATAATAACTGCAACTTTTTTTTATTATTCAATGTGGGTGTATTTATTTATTTTACAAAGCTGGATGAAGCCTTTAATTATTTCACATTGGCCCATGTTTTTATTTTTTGTAAATTCTGTAATGTGAATTATGTTGTTTATGAACTATCATTGTTGTCTGTGCACTATATGTTCTCCCTGTGCCTGTGTGGGTTTCCTCCAGGTACACCGGTTACCTCCCACACTCCAAAGACATACCGGTAGGTTAATTGGATCCTATCTAATTGGCCCCAGTATGTGTATGTATAAATGTAAGTTAGGGACCTTAGATCGTTCACCCCTTGAGGGTTAGGGACTGATGTGAATGTACGATATATATATGTAAAGCGCTACGTAAACTGATGGTGCTATATAAGTACCTGTAATAAATAAATAAAAATAAATATGTGCAGTACAGTAGGGATTCGACCTTCAACTGCAGGAAAATAGTACAGGGATTTGTTCCCTGTGTTTTGCTATTTTGCAAGGCCTCTTACAGAACACTGTTCCAGTGGAAATCTGCACTGCATCACCTGCTAGATTCTGGTGAGAATACTCCAGAGTGCTTTGACAGGCATGCATATAGAGGGTCCTCTCTGTCTTGTCAGCTGGCTAAACACTTGTGAGTTTGACATCAGTGGATTGGACTAGAATTTGACAAAACGGTGAGGCACTGTTTTGAAAGGGCCCTTAGTACAGTGCCTGGGTCTAGAGGGTGTGACCACACTGGAGTAGGGTAAAAGAACTGGAACACAGTAACACAGAATCTCTTGCTTTGTTGGCTATTCCAGTGGATAGTCTGCAATGCTCCTGGATGCTAAGACCCACTCAGTGAATGCTAGAGTCTGGGTATTCCACCTCCTCATGTCCCGTTGTACCAAGTTAAAATACAGAGTTTGGAACTGCATCCTCAAAGGTGCAATATCGGGAGGTGCGTGCTGGGTAGCCAGCTGCACCAAATCCCAGAAATAGAGACAAGCAGGCTTCAGATGCCCATATCCTAGATGGCCCTCTGCCTGCTTCCAAGATCAGGTAAAATTGTAAGGACTTAAAAATAACCAGTATAAATACAGTTCTAACAGTATTCTAATGTAAATATACAAGTAATAACAATCAGGGGGGAGCTTTTTAAAAAAAAAAATGATTATGGGGACTGGAGCTTCGCTTTAAGAGAGGAGGTTGTAAGTGTTGCCAGAAGGGGTTATCTCACACTTTTACAAAAGATTCCTCGTCTTTCCTTTTATATTGGTAAAGGAAATCTAATAGAATTGGGACAGGTGATGTCAGTGTGCAGGAAAACAGTATGGTTTCCTCAAGACAAACCCATTGCATTCATTGGTACACATTCCCAAATTAAATTAAGGACTCTGGAAGGTATTCATGGGATGTCACAGGAACACTATTCAGAGGGCCAGAGTGCATTACAGTGGGTAAATGGAGGGCAATACTAAGAACTGGTGCTTGTAAATAGATGCATCTCTTCACAGTTACTCTAGCATCTCATAGGACATAGTTTTTAGAGTCAATATGTCAACAAAAATAAAAATACAATCAATACTGCATGCATGCATATATCTTTAGTTCAAAAGAAAAGTACCCCCAACACCTGGATTAATACTCTATATAAACTGACTTCTCAGTATTCTCAGGATAATTTCCACTGCACCCTGTCTTGTAACATGCTCAGATCACATGTGTGTACACTGAACAAGAAGAAGAATTTAATTTTGTATGTATATTGTAATATATTGGCGCTTACCAGGCTTTAGATGTGGTTGCTGCATTAGTTTTATTTTATTCAGGCTCTTTCCTGTAATTTACACTGGTATGCCTAGGAACCCTAACATACTTCCAATTGGATGGTTATCCTCACTCCTCCATTATATCTATGAAGAGACCCCTGGTTGCCATCTATGCTGGCTTTTAAACATGTCTGCCTTTACACCTGTACATAGCGGATGATGGTAGTAGCAGTTTACACAAATAAGATAACATTATTTTATACTTCCAGGTCAGCTCACAGTGCACCTGAAGGTTTCTGATTGACGGAAAACACTTCCTGGGGTTGGGAGTCCCAAGTTAACCCATCTGTTCCTTTTACAATAATGAGTTTCTTTTAAGGTGTCATTTAAATCATTTTTCAGTTTTTTTTGAATTGAAACTAAGAAATTATATTGAATATATCATCTTTAAACTGCACGCCAACCCAGCTGATTAGCAAAATATGCTAGATATGGAGGCACTGGTGCAGTTCTATTTTAACACATTAATTAGGATGGTTGTCAGTTTGGAAAAAGAAGATTTATAAATGGAATGCTCTTTACAGTCTCTTCTATGATAATCAGCCCTTGTTGTCTTTGCAATATATGCATTTTATAGCCTTATTTACATTTTAAGTAATAGACAGACCTGACAAGCAACCATCCACTTCAAGGACATGTCTCTAAACAGACATCCAAGTACAGGCAGGAAAGTACATAAAACCCAACAGGAAATCCGTCGCACATCAAGAATCTTTACATTTTTTCCTTGAAAATTCTGAATTTAGTGTGCTATCCTCACATTGATTTCTGACTATAAATCTCAATGTATCAAAGTTTACCCCTTGCTGCACCCTTGATTGACTCACAGTATCTGTTTTGGCCAGGCAGTAGAGAGCATGTCTTTGGGATAGAGTCAAGTTGAAAGCAAGCATGCTCAGAGTTATTTAAGGATGAGTGTACCCATGAAATATTACCTCTTAACACATCCAGGGAGACAAAAAAAGCTTTGCAAAAATAACCTCTTGTCTCAGCTTTTGCTTTCACTGTATATTTAGAGCTGTTATCACAATCCCAGGCTAGTGTAAACCTTGCTTTGTTTACAACTAGTTTATGGAGTTTGTTACCCTTTATTGGCTAACCTAAGCTGTTAAAAATGCAAGCTTTTGGAACCAATTAGGTTTCTTCTTGTATGTAATTCATTTTACCTATACATTCAGCTTATAACTAACTTTTCTGCCAGGTGCCATAAATTATGATTTTTATGTTGCACTGCATTCATGCTGGAATTGACAGGCACTGCTGTTAGAAGCACACAATGAATGCATATTTTTAGCAACAGTAGGGACTGGTTCACACCATTAATTGCACAGGAACGAGCTGTGTGCTCCGCAATTCACATGTGATCCAGGTAAAGTGCAATTTCAGCCCATTCATTTAAATGAGCTGAAATTGCGCCAGACCGCACCAAAAGTAGTGCATGCACTATTTAACCACTTGCCCTCCTGAGGATTTTCCCCCCTTCCTGACCAGGCCATTTTTTTGTGTTCCGGCGCTGCGTTACTTCAACTGACAATTGCGTGGTGGTCGTGCAACACTGCACCCAAATGAAATTTACATCCCTTTTTTCTCACGAATTGAGCTTTCTTTTGGTGGTATTTGATTGCCTGTGCATTTTTTATTTTTTGCGGAATGAAAAAAAAATAGATTGACAATTTTGAGAAAAAAACAATATTTTTTTACTTTTTGCTATTAAACATGTCCAGTAAAAAACAAATTTCATCATAAATTTAGGCCAAAATGTATTCTGCTTCATGTCTTTGCTAAAAAAAATCCCAATATGTGTAAATTAATTGGTTTACATGAAAGTTATAGCGTTTACAAATGGCAGCACAGATACTGGAATTTTTTTTTTTTACTAATAGTGGCGGTGATCAGCGACTTATAGAGGGACTGCGGCGGGCATTCTGACACTGGGGGGAAC